CCCCCAAGGGCAAGAGAGCCTTGCTTTGACCTTAGTAAATCTCTCCTTTTCCTAAAAAGGAAAATCATTACCTACGGGTTATACATGTTTTGTATAGTTAATGTTTCAGCAGTTTGTTTTTCACTGGTCTTTTCAGGATTTACCTTTTTGACAAGTGTTTGAAAGTACAGTGTGATTTGAGTAACAAATATCACAAAGTAGCAAGTATGCCCTTCCTTTAAAACATGGGCCTGAGCTTCCTAATCCTCAAGACTGAAGAGGTGCTTTATAAATCCAGGTTTTGATATTCCAGCATTTGTGAATGAGTATTTTACATTCAAAACCTAACTTAAGGCAGGTGTTAATTTTTAAAAATATCTCTATTAAGTAAAGATTGTCTTAAACAAAATGCAAAATGTAATTTAAGAAAGGCCTCCATCTTATCTATCCAGTACTTCGGGTCTCCCCCCACCCAGAAAAAAAAAAAATTTGGAAAATTACAACAACAGCAAAATAAAACCACCAATAAAAGTAGAGCATATTTGGAATATTTAGAAGCTTCTAAAACTGTTTAAAACTTTAAAAATGTTTGTTAAGAGAAATTTTAAAGGGAGCCTGTTTGTTTTGTTAATTGCAAAAGAGAAACTCCATTTTAGTATTTTGAATTTTCTTGAAGAATCCTCTAATCCCACCTGTTTTGGTCGGAGCTGATGATTAAGAGTGCCTCCCCTTCCCAACCAGGGAAAAGCACTATTTATTTGCCCTACCTACCCACTTCAGACCATGTGAAAGGCTAGTTCTAAGTGTGTTCATTTTGTCCTGTATGTGATGTTGTGAGGGAAGCAGACCAGTCCTTGACGTGAAGAGACCAGATAACAAACTCCAAGAGCTGAGGAAATAAGAAAAAAGCTCTACTCCTCTAAACCAATTTAAAATTCTCTTTTTTCTAGGGCATCTAATTTTTATTTCAATGCTTCCTAAACTATGTTCTTGATATTACTCAAGAACTTGGATAATTTCCACAGGCTTTTAATTTGTATCCCTGTCCCCAGTAAATGCAATTTCTGGTCAAGCATATTGCAGTCTGATTTAAAAAGCAATATAAAAGAGCCATCAATTTCCAAATAATCCATAATTTTTAATCTCTTCTGTTGAATTTTTAAAAATTAAAAAATGGATTGGGAAATATTATAACTTATCCAGCCTTCTGCCAAGTGCATTACTTAAACTCTGCTCATGTTTTTAGGGTTTTCAGACCTTTCCAACATCCGCGACTCCACCTCTTCATCACAAGCTACAGTCTGCTTTCTCTTTGCTCCTTATTAGCTACTTTGAGTTAAAGGAGGGAGAAAAGATTATTATCCTGAGGAATATTCCTCCCCAGGCATTCAGATTCACCCACTTTCTTTCCCAT